CTTTATAATGAGTGTAAAGTATTTTTAATGTAGGGTCAAGCCTGAACTTAAGTTTTAACCAGCATCATTAATAATATGAATTAGTTATTGTTCCTATGTTGATTGACATTACTGTGGAACAAGTGTTCTCATATAAGATGCAGTTTTGACTGGTCATTGAGTTATAGTAGGGGTATTTGTGCTTGCACACAAATGTAGCATGATGTATCTGCATATTTTTTTAAGTGTCAATCATGTAAAGAAAACAGAAAAATCTTACCTAATGCCTATTTCTGATACTGGTTTTGTGCATTTGATTTGCTTTCTTAAACTTTAATAACCAGTCGACCCCCTATAACACTGTTGATTATTCTGTTTTATATGAATTCCATGTTGTACAAGTCACTTAGATTTTACAAATACGTGATCCATTCGCAGCCTGGCACATGTATTTGTAAAATCTAAGTGACTCGTACAACATGGAATTCATATAAGTATAAGTTTATTATAGTTTAACAATTGTAAAGCCAATATACATTTATGTTTCAATGTTATTCAATTTCAGAACTAAATGATAAATACAGGCAACATAAGCTATGAGAATAAATAATCAACAAAATGCAAAATTATATTTTAAAATTTTACTTTTATATTTCTTGCCAAATAATGTAATGCTTCTGAAAGGGGCCTGATACAAAAATTACTATTTACTAGACAAACTGTACAGTTAATTCTAATGTTTATATTTGTGCTCTAACAATAAAAGTTAGTAGATAAATATAAATATCTTATGTAAAGGACTTTTTTAAACAAAAATTACTGGCAAATTCGGACAAATTTCACTTATTTATTGTCATTTATAAATTTCTATTACTAACTTAAAATTTAATAATATAAATCAATTGTTTCTATATATTATTATTATTATTAATTCATTTTACATACTTAATTTTAAAAAAGATATTCTATCTGATTTTTTTGCAATTACCTGAATCATTTTTATCAGTTGAACTGGATGGTTGATATATATTAATTACTTTAAAAACATTTCCCACATGGGGGTTTACTGAGTTTTCTATTAGAATACCTGAGAATAGTGATAAAATATATTATAAAATATTGTTTTTATTTTCTATTATTATTATTAAATTTTTATTTGTAGAGATTTAATGTATATATTCAAAAATAATTACTGTCTGCTATTTTTTCCGTTGCTGCATTTAAGGCCAAAGTTTCCAATGCCTGTAATGTTTTCATAGTTAAAACTTAATATGTTATTAAAATTAATTATATAACATTTTAATTATCTATTATAAGGTCAAAACACAAATATGTATGCTATAAAATATAATCATTAACTTAAAATTATGTACTTGCAGTTAATCATAGCAAGAAACAATAATCTTTTACTTCAAAATACTTAATTTCTGTTAAAAGTGTTTAGTCTTTTGTTTATACACATTTCCTATACACACTTTACAGAGAAAAAAAAAGTTTAGATTATGATTTGGAATTTCAAGTCAAAATGTAATTAGTTTATAAATTCTTGCTTTTTCTTTAAAATTGAATTAATATTTATTTAAAATCAGTCAAAATACAACCATTTGTTATTTGTTTTTTCTTATAATTTCAATGAGAAGGTAGAATATTAAACATTTAGGTTAATGTTTACCTAGGTAGTCCAAGATGGCCGCACAGTGGGGACCCACGTTCTAACCTAACCTAACCTATTCTAATAAATTAACAAAATTACTAATGTAAGATGTAAAATAACTCAAAAAATTAATTATATGAAAAAAGGAAAATTTTCTTAATTTATTAGAATAGGTTAGGTTAGGTTAGAACGTGGGTCCCCACTGTGTGGCCATCTNCACTTACCCTCATAATTAAACTTTTTTCCATTTTATAATAATTAATATAAAAAGTTTTAACAATATCTCCTAACAGATAGCACCACGTGTAATTTTATTTATTATACTGTAATTAATAATATAAAATTATCGGTTAATGTTTACCTAGGTAGTCCAAGATGGCCGCACAGTGGGGACCCACGTTCTAACCTAACCTAACCTATTCTAATAAATTAACAAAATTACTAATGTAAGATGTAAAATAACTCAAAAAATTAATTATATGAAAAAAGGAAAATTTTCTTAATTTATTAGAATAGGTTAGAACGTGGGTCCCTACTGTGCAGCCATCTTGGACTACCTAGGTAAACACTAACCAACATTTAATATCAGGTTTAACATCTGAGATGTTTTTTGCTAAACTCTGTTGTTACACAGAAATTTTTGTAGTTGCACAATTGAATGATGTCCATGGTTGATGGCATAATTGAAATGCCTATAACGTATAACCTTTATAATCATTGTTGTAACTTGCATAGATAGTTTTTTTTATGTATTTTCTATGTCTCAAGTAATGTTAACTTTATCAATTTTATCAAACGAACAAAGCTCTAATAAAAACAAATACGCCGCACTAATCTTGTATAGCTTTACAGTTACTATATAGAAGGTAACAGTAACATTTTCGACATATTCTAGGATCAACTTCAAGTGTTCTATAAATTTATTTATTTATATAACTATTTGTAACTTTATTAATAAAAAAAATTTACCTTTTCTTGACTTTCCTCCATATTTTAGTATGAAAACAGATGTAATCTTAATAAGTAAATGAAAATTTAACACACCTATATTTTTATCTGAATATATCGTTATTATCTTATCTAAAATGTAAACGTATGCATATTATTCAAAAGAAATTATTTCTTGAAATTAATTATATTAATTAAATGAATAAAAAGTTAATGCAAATTTAATTAATGGAGATTATTTGACATGAAAAAAGATTTTATATTTCAGATGATCTAAGAAAACCTTTAGTTTGCAACTTTTTAAAATTAAATTGTTAGTATCTTTGGGTGAAATGATCTCTAATCGTAAAATCTCTGTTTAATTTCAAACCAAGAATCGGTTATAACGATCGGATTGGACGCCAGTCATGTCCTGTTCGTCCAACTGACCCGAACTAAAGACATCCCACATTCCTGAATCGCACGCCCACACATAGGTGTAACCACGTGCGACTAAATATCCAGATGGCACAACGCGCTGATTGGTAAGCTGAATGACGTCAACCTACTAAAATCGGAAATGTTGATCGATCAGCCTAAACTTCTGTTAAAATTCGTTCCTTCTTTCAACGTTGAGGTAGCGCTGTTGTCAGCGCTGCCTCAACGTTTTTCCAATGAATTATGGGTAATTGGTAAGACATTTGAATGAAATCCATCTTGCTGAGAATGGAATTATGGGAACTAAGCACTTCGTACTCGAGTTGGAACGTCGTTGAT